ATGTCCCAAAGTCTCCAAAGGACCCTCTTTTGTACTACTAGCTCTTAGAATAACTGTACTCTAATAATCATTATAATGATAAAGGGTGCGTTTAGTTTGATGATGGGTGCTTTCAAAGGAACAGTCCCATCAATTGAACAAATTGGTTGGGCACTAATTTATACAATTCTTACAGAATATGAAATTGCTATGATCAGTACAGGATAAAACCCCCAAATGATTACAGTAATGGAGTAAATGGCTTCAGGAGTTGAATGCAGCCTCAGGGATGTCAACCTGTGGTAAATGCCCTGTTAATACTCACAGATTATTGCGCACAGAGTTTGCTGATGATTATAAAATATATTTATTCTACTGAAATTTATTGACTGTACACTATGTGCAAGTCACCTGCCAGGCTTTGTGGAGAGGACAAAGTTGAATAAGACTCAGACCATGGTTTCACGAAATAGATAATTTATAAAATTTGACATTGCAAGGACTATGTATAGCCATAAGCAATTATTTTTCCATGAGTAATTTATGACCACTAAAATTCAATGCACATTTGAGAGTAAAAATCAAACAAATATTAAGGGCAATAGTTTTTTTCAAGATCTATGCTTCTTCTTCTTTCTCATCTTTTCCTTGTGCCATGTTGTATGCTTCTACTTCTCATTACTAGGGTGGGGTGCCTTTTTTAAAAAGGAAAAGTCATAAAAAGTGGAAATAAAGTGACTGCAAATGCCATCTCCAGTTACCTCCCCATGTGGCATCCCGTGGCAGTTTCTCCCCACTGTCAATTAATTTTTGCATTTTATGTCTGCATTTTGTGTACTCCAATAAGGCCTATAGCCCTAAGACTGAATGTTAACTGGGCTGATATCTCCATTCAGGAGAAATGCTGTGATCCTCACTTGTGTTTGTTCATCAACAAAGAAACAAATGCTTTGAAGCAGTGCTATTCACAGCGTGGTCTGTGTACCAGTGTGGGCCGTGAACTGTTGTCTTGCCTGTCTGTGATAAGAGTAAGCATTTAGGAACTTTTATAGCAATTTGGTAGGGTAATTTCATGTCTGCTAATTTAATAGCAAAAAAAAAAAAGCTTTATAATTTGTGTCTTTGTATTTTTCATTGCATTATTCTAGTAATTAATTTTTATTGTATTTTACAAAAGTGTTGGCCTGCAATGGATTTGAAATAAAAATAATTTTTTAAAAACTGGTCCTTCACCACAAATAGTTTGAGAAACACTACTTTAAGGTATCTTTTCTTCTTTCAGAAAGTATTCAGCTTCCCTTCGCCACGGTAGTTTCTTTCGACTTGTTAAATTTCTGTCAGAGCATACTCCTGGATGTTAATTTTTAGACAGAGTGTGATACAGGCAAAGAGAAACTTCTTTTAGTTAGGAAAAAAGTAAATTCCATAAATAGCCATGAAATTACCGGTGGTGCAGTCATTAAGAGCTGGACTGCTAACCAAAAGTTCGGCAGTTCGAATCCACCAGCTGCTGCTTGGAAACCCTATGGGGTGGTTCTACTCTGTCTTATAGGGTCACTATGAGTCAGAATCGATGCGACAGAATGAGTTTTTTTGGTTTATATGTGTGTGTGTTTGTGAAATTTAAAAAAAGAAATTGTTGTCTTTTTAAACCAAGGTTTTGGTTTTTGCCAAACTATTATTAAGTTACTATTAAATGTACTAAGCCAGTTTGGCAGATTATAACTTCAAAGCTTAAAGTTTTATATAACTATGGAGAATTAGTGTTTGAAAGTATTCGTGTCAGGATGCTTGGTTGAGTCTGTCCACTGAGTAAGCTTTGGCCCAGTAGAAAATATGTGAGCCAGTAAGTCAACCAGGCTGACAGGTCATCGCCCTGGACTGCAGTCATCTTGCCTGTAAAATGAAGCTGTCAGACGGGATGACCCCTAAGGTCTTCTCCATTTCTAATATTCGATAAGACTGTGAATTTAATTCCATAATCATTTTGCTGTTGTTGTTAGTTGCCGTGTAGTCGGCTCCGACTCCTGGCCACCTTGTGTATACGACAGAATGAAATATTGTCTGGTCCTGTGCCACCTTCATAATCATTTTAGACTACTGTACTTTCATTTTTCAAAAAAAGTTAATATTTGGAAATTAAGTAAGAACTCCTCCTTGCATGCTAACTATTTCTTGATAGAGTCCTTTGTTGTTTGCAAAATGAAAGCTATGCAGCTCATTAGATAAACAGATAAAGAAATAAAAATGGAGAAATGGCAGAGTTGAAATATTTTACAAAAATAGAAAAATAAAAGTAATGGCTATTCTAGGTATCCTTGAGCTATAACAGTAGGTGTTGGTGTGAAAGGCAAATGGATGAAATTGACATTCACGTGGAAATTGCCTGTAGTTCACATGAAAAGAGATTTATTAGAGACCCTACCACTTCCTCTTTCTTTCCTATCTGACCAATGAACTTGAACCTTTTTCTATTTTGATTTTTTGATGTAACCTAGATACTGGCCAGGGTCAATAAACATATATAATCTGTATACTTATTGTCTTGGTTATCTAGGGTGCTATAACAGAAATATCACAAGTGGATGGCTTTAACAAAGAGAAATTTATTTTCTCACAGTCTAGTAGGCTACAAGTCCAAATTCAGGGCATCAGCTCCAGGGGAAGGCTTTCTTTCTCTGTCAGCTCTGGAGGAAGGTCCTTGCCATCAGTCTTCTCCTGGTCTAGGAGCTTCTCTGTGCAGGAACCCTGGGTCCAAAGGACACACTGTGCTCCTGGTGGTGCTTTCTTGGTGTATGAGGTCCCCTCACCCCCCATCTCTCTGCTTGCTTCTCTCTTTTATATCTCAAAAGAGATTGGCTTAAGACACAATATAATCTTGTAGATTCCATCAACATAATGGCCGTTAATCTATCTCATTAACATCATAGTGATAGGATTTACAACACATAGGAAAATCACATCAGATGACAAAATGGTGGACAATCACACAATACTGGGAATCATGGCATAGCCAAATTGATATACATATTTTGGGGGGACACAATTCAATTCATGACACCTATTTCTTTCTGTTGTCCATAGGATCGCTATGAGTTGGAATAGACTCAATGGCACCTAACAACAACAACAACATACTTATGTGTATATAAGACCTTCTAAACATATATAATCTGTTTACACATCTTGTGCAAAGACTAATATTCTCCCAATGAGTTCAAAGAATTCCTGGAGATTTAAATTTTTGGTTGCCTGGCTCCCCAAGCCTGCTCTTGCTGAATTAGTTTGGTTTATGCCTCACCTCTCCCCTCTTCCCTCTTGGACTGCTGGTGCTGTTCCAGCCCAGATGTACACCTCTGTCTGGGGGTACAGGGCCCGTGTCTTCTCTCTCCAGTCTGTCCTCACCTCTTTCTTCCTGCGGAGCTCCAAATTCACTCCATTATGTTGAACAGTGCAGCTCTGCACACCCCTCTCCCAAACTCACTCTAGACCTACCACTGCACAGCAAGGGCTTCGCTGAGCACAGAGGCTATGGAATCCTTTAACGGGATCTACCCTCCTTAGAATGCTGCTTGCTTTTAAACAGTATTTTTTTCCATCATACTTGTTGTTGTGTGCCGTCGAGTTGATTCCTACTCATAGCAGATTTATACTGGTAAATAGTAAAATTTTATTTTAACTTAATTTGATAATTCATAATTTTGATCATTAAAACAAGTATCATCCTATTTATTTAAACTGTGTTCTCTAATTTGCAAGTCAATTTCTTTTTGCTCTCATTCTGTTGTTCAAGTTAGCCCTTTATCTCGATATGTTGCTACAACTGATTCATGGAACATTCTTTTTATTTCATCATTTATGTTTCTGATAAATGTGTTAATTTTATGGAGCTCAAATCTGGGGCACATTTATATACCTATGTGATGAAATAGTTTGAACAATCCCAGCCCTATGGGGATTGAGGTGTACAAGGGTGAGTGCTTGTTCCATGAATAAAGTGACGGGAGTGTGGTACTAATGCCTTTCATTGGCTTTTGGATACCACATTGACCAGACGTCCATAAAGGAACCCCACTAAGTGGTCCCAGGGAAATCTCTAGAAGTAGAAAGAAGCAACTGACAGTCATTCCCTTCTCAAGAGGAGCTATATCATGCAACTGACTGAACAGAAGAGTGGTCCTAACCCTGGCTGTGCAATAGAGTCCCTGGGGAGCTTTACAGAAATACTGAGGTCAGCTAGAATATCAGGGGGCAGGACCCTGGCATTTGTATTTTCAAGAGCTCCCCAGGTGATTCCATGGTGCAGCCAGGATTGAGAGTCATAGGTCAAGAGTCTAGTGAGCCGATTGGGTCTCAGTAGGAGGAAAATAAAAAATGGGAGGCTCAATAAAGGTGAAGGAACTCAACAGTGGTTTAAGACGTTACCAATTTTAACCTGGAAAAGGTTGGGACAAGATGGAACAATGTCATAGCTTCAAGATGAGTTAGTAACAGACATACTTTTCCCTTGACCCCTTATAGATCACTCAAGGGGTTAAGACGTTGGCATAGAGAACCCAAGATTTATAAATCAACTCAAAAATCGCTGAAGGGCTCTGAATCCTTTTGGCTTTGGAAGTTGGAGGCTTACTGACAGAATCTCTAGCCTTAAATGTTCTGTTGGGGATCCACTGGCCTATCGATACTTTATCCTGTGTGTGCACACTTGCACATGAGTGGTCTCATTTGGCCTTAGGCTACCTTACACCTAAAGATTTATTTAGTTTTAGAGATGTGCCGAGGCTCTTGGCTTACCAAAGGAAGGCAGAGTGAAACCAACCCACTGTTAATTTATGCCACTCTTTTGATCTTTGGCACGTTACTTTATTTGTCTTAGAAGAATATGCGCTCTGAGCCAGGCTGTGAGCCAGGAAGCATTCCCTTTTTGTCCATCTTTCCAGGGTCTGGCCAAGCATCCTATTCCTAATAAGTATTGATTAAGCATTTGTCAGTGACCTCTGCAAATTCTGCTTTTCTTTTAGGACGCAGTGCAAGTATTGATTAAGCACTCAGCTGATGTCAATGCGAGGGACAAGAACTGGCAGACCCCCCTCCACGTGGCAGCAGCCAATAAGGCTGTCAAGTGTGCAGAAGTGATCATTCCCTTGCTAAGCAGCGTCAATGTCTCCGACCGAGGGGGGCGGACAGCCTTGCACCATGCAGCTCTGAATGGCCATGTGGAGGTGGGTGTCCTCATCACTGAGAATGCCCCCCGCAGACTCTCTTAGCCCCAAGTGAAACCTAGCCTTATTGCTGAGACTTTTAGAGAATGTGATAATATTTGTAGATCAAACTTTAGGTAACTAACTCCATTTATAAATTCACAGCCACAAGGAATTGAAAAAGTAGGCCCTCACCTCAGTCTTTTCCTCTGATATACATGCCACAGGGTCTGTGTCATCATCTTCCTACTTTTTTGAACTCCAAACCTCCGACCTGCCTTTAGATTTGATGTCAGTTTGGCTCAGATCACCTGCAGGTAGTGAGGAGCCTCATGGTTACAGAGTGCACACCTGATTTAGTTGTTGGTTATCTTTCAGATGGTCAATTTACTGTTGGCCAAAGGGGCAAACATCAATGCATTTGACAAGAAGGACCGGCGTGCTCTGCACTGGGCAGCATATATGGGTAAGGAGTCCACGAATGGGAAGGAAAGTACAGATAACCTTACTTCACAAGCCAAGGGTCTCTCATGGACCATGTAGATTTTCTCTTGTGCAAGTCTGACTTTTTTAAAGATTTGATTCCAGTTGAATTAAGATTCTGTCCATTTTATTGGCATGCATAGAGCACTCTATGAGCAGTTGCTTTATTAGAGATTTATTTATCCTACAAAGAGGAGGAGGGATGAATCACAGCCTAGACCTCATTGGACATGGTTTAATCTGGATTGGAAAGCTGCACCAACTGTGCTTATTTTAACTTGTCATGGCAGGAAAGTAAGGTGTTTAAAAAAGAAAGAGGACTGACTACCAAAGCAAGGACACAAATTCCATTTGTCTTTTTATTTATAAATATTTTTGAAAGAAACAAAAAGGAAGGGAGAAAGGACAAACCCCTGGCTGTTATGTAGATTGTCAGCAGTCAGAATGGATTATCTTGCTACTCAACTGCCAGCAAAGCAGGAGAATGCAGTTCTGACTTCTGTCCATGCTAGTGGGGGAGATGAGGGAAGAAGTTACATTTCTATGTTTTTCCTTTTCACTTTTGTTGGCACAAATACCACTGACAAATGATAGACCTTGCAAACTTGTGGGAAATGGATCCTCCGTTTGTGTTTCTAATTGGAGAACATCCTGCAATTAGAAGAGAAGACAGGATTATATCAGTAAGCAACCTGAAAGCCCAATCCAAGGAAACTGGCTTGGTAAATCATGGAAGATCTGCACAATGAGACACCATGCAGTAAATCAGTGATGATGTCAATCAGTATTTCTTAATGTAGAAAGATGGCCATGATACACTAAGTGAAAAAAAGGCTATAAAACGGTATGACTAGCCTGATCTTCATTTTGTAAAAAAAACAAAACTATACAACAGAAACAAATCCAGAAAATATTCTATGACAAAACATTAACAGTGATTATCCCCAGGGGTTGGTGACTATGGGTGATTTTGGTTTCCTTTTTAATACCTTTTTGCATTTTCTGAAATCTTTTTAACAAGCATGAATGCCTTTTATCATCAGAAAAAAAACAATAACATTAATTGTAGGGAGAAAAAGAGGTGGATTGGGATGGGGATGAAATGAATTATATGACTATAGATAGGTCTGAATGAATCCTTGGGCTTAATAAACCAGAATCTTAAAATTTTGCAAACATGATCAGTTTTTCAGGTGACATGGACTTTCAAGTTGGTTGAACAAATTAGATGTCTGTGTGGTACCTGTAGGACTGGAGCCAGTGAGTGTTTGCCGGGAGATAGATATTTAGGCAGAGCACACACTAAGTTCGTGTGAGATGAGGTTGAAGAACCGGGAGTTTGTACTTTTTTCTCTGATGATGTATAGCTAAAACATTTGGGCAGAATCGCTTTAAAGAAATAAGATTTTTATTTTGTGTATCATCAGGATACAAACAGGGAAAAATCTAAAGATGCGTATGTTTAAGGAATAACAGGACAAAACCAGGACAAATAGCTTGAGATAGCACCACTAGTAATCGCAAATTTGTTTTTATATATATGCGTCTAGGGGGAAGAAAGGTCAAATTTTAATAAAACAAGTTAATACCAGGGACACACACACTCTCTCTCACACACATACAAACATGGACACACACTTTTTCTCATACACACACACATGCACACTCTTACACATACTCTCTCTCTCTCTCATACACACCCCTACGCTTACATACACACACACTTACATACACACACATTTAAAAACTCATTTTATAACAGGTCCTGGTGTCAGTACTCATTTTCTTCCTTTCAAATATTATCCATGTTTAGAGAAATGCTCCTGAAGCATTGAACAATCCTCAGTCCCGGAAGAAAGGTCCAATACATTTATCATATAGTAAGATATGGAACAAAGTAAAATATTCTAGAAAATATTTCCACAAGAGTTGAATCTCGAAGAGTTTTCTGTTTAGCCACCAATTGATGAGAATACTATTAAGTTGAGCCATATGAAATTGCCATTTTATAGCCAAAAAGCAGTCGAGCAGCACCAGTTTCATAGGATTCAACCTAATAATCCTGACTTCTGACTCATGGACTTTTTTCTTTCATTAGTTTTTCCAAACCAAATTATCATTGACTTTTTAGTGAGGCATGGCAAAAGCTTTGCTTTCATTTTTGAACACACTGTTTTCTTAGATTACAGTACAAACACATTGGCCTAGACTTGTCATTATTTGTAGACAGACATCAGCTCTCTTTACTAAAGTCTTCTTGAAGAGAAGACTCACATTTAAATCATCTTTCTTCTTCCTGCAGCATTTACATAATGTCTGATACGTAGTAGGTGCTCAATAAATATTCGTTGAATATTTGCCATAAATCAGCTCTTATAAATGGCTCAGCAAAATCCTGGTGGTAATAAAAGCTAATAGTGATAATTTTAGGTGAAATGAATCGTCAGATTGTCCTATAAAGGTTAACAATGTTTTCTGCTGCTTTGTTTGTAAAGGCCACCTGGACGTAGTAGCATTGCTCATTAACCATGGCGCAGAAGTGACGTGTAAGGATAAGAAGGGTTACACGGCCCTGCACGCTGCAGTCTCCAATGGACAGATCAATGTTGTCAAACACCTCCTGAATCTGGGGGTGGAGGTGAGCTACGATTAGTGCATATTAATGCACCACCACATGGCCTGTGCATTTATGGGTTTTCTGTTGTTCTGAATTAAAATATATTTCCATTTTAATTCAAGTGAAAAATTTTTTTTCTTTCATCCTGTTTTTTTGAGTTTACATGGGCAACTGAAGGGCAATGGGGTCATTTACTAAGTAGTGGAAAACTAGAAACAGACCAATTTTCTGTATCTACATAGATATAGAAATATATAAGCATACACATTACATATACTATGTATTCATGTATATATACATGTGTATATGTATGTATGTATATTTGTATATGGAGCCCTGGTGGCTCAGTGGTGAAGAGCTCAGCTGCTAACCAAAAGGTCGTCAGTTTGAATCCACCACCTGCTCCTTGGAAACCCTATAGGGCAGTTCTGCTCTGTCCTATGGGGTTGCTGTGGGTTGAAATTGACCCGATGGCAATGGGTTTGGTTTTTAAAAAAAATTTTATTTATGTATATGTACGTGTGTGTATATGTATATCCACACATATGTGTATATATGTTTAAAATATGTATGTAGCTGGGTGGTATAATTGGTTAACACGCACTAATTGGTTAACTCAACTGCTAACCAAAAGGTTAGAGGTTTGACTCACCCAGAGACATCTCAGGAGAAAGGCCTGGTGATCTACTTCTGAAAAATCAGCCATTCAAAACTCAGTGGAGCACAGTTCTGCTCTAACACAAAGGGGGTTCTGAGCATAATTTTCGTGAGTAGGTTCCGCAGCCACCTCCACTGCGCAGCACCCACCCCTTTCTCTTTATGATCTCTGCACTCCATCCCTTGAGTGTGGACCTCTTTTTCATTCCCCTGACTCAGTTCTCCTCTGGCCTTTTGAGGCAGCTTTGCCTTTCACCCTTCATCCCTTCCTTGGTCTAAAAATATCTCCCCACAAGTTGAAACCTCTAACTCTTCCTATTGGGTTCACTTTTTGTCACATTCACTTTTTGCTGATCTTTGCCTCTGGGTGAAAGCATTCCCTACATGAGCAATACGGGGGCAAGTGCAGAGTGAGCCCTGAATAATTATGTTGATGGATGGACATTTCCTTTCTCTAGCCACAGCCATTAGGCTTTTCCTGAAAAATGGAGTAAATTGACTCCAGTGATTTTAATTGCTTTGCTTTGGACTCATTTGCAGATTGATGAAATCAACGTCTATGGAAATACTGCCCTTCATATCGCCTGCTACAATGGCCAGGATGCTGTAGTTAATGAGCTGATTGACTACGGTGCTAACGTGAACCAGCCAAACAACAACGGGTTCACCCCTTTGCATTTTGCTGCCTCCTCCACTCACGGTGCTTTGTGTCTTGAACTGCTAGTCAACAATGGGGCGGATGTTAACATTCAGGTATGAAACTCTTAGTCTCTGTCTGTATTAAATACCTTTGCATTGAGCCTCAGTTTGTGCAAAATCAACTGCTGTAAATTTTATCATGTTTAGTGAATTTTAACCTTGAGAAGTCTGACTCACACAGGCTTATCCTACATCAGGATGCTACGGACACTTAGCTGCGGGAGTGCAGCTCTTGTTTCTGCAGCAGTGGTGGTACCAGCTAGAAGGCACTGAGACTCCAGACACGTGCCCTCGGAAGCTTAGTTCCAGGGCAACTAACTGAGTCTCGGGGATGTTGACTTAGCTCAGGTTCTAATACTGACGTGAATGTTGAGCTAATAGGGTAGAGCTGCTGAGAATTCAAAGGAAGGCCTAAATTAATGCTGCCAAGAGCATATGACTTGGTTTTTAGCTTTATATATATGTATATCTTCTGTATTTGAAGCAATGAGCATGTGTTATTTTTATTCTTAGAAAAAAAGAAGCTATTTTCATTTTGGAAAAAATAAAATCCAGGTGTAATGGGACTGGAGAGGGAGATGACTAGAGGATTGTTGTTGTTGTGTACTGCAGAGGTGATTCTTCCTCATAGTGACCCTATAGCAACCCTGTAGGACAGAGTAGAACTGCCCCATAGGGTTTCCTAGGCTGTAATCCTTAAGGGTGCAGATCGCCAAGTCATTTTTCCCACAGAACCATTGGTGGGTTCGAACCTCTGACTTTTTGGTTAGCACTTGAGCACTTAACCATTGCGTCACCAGAGCTCCTTGAGTAGAGAATAACTGGCAGTAAATAAAACTGATTTAGATAAAAGGTGATGAAGACAGGGGAGTGGGGAGGAGCCAAAAGAAGGGAGAGAATTTGCAGAAAAAAAAGCAGCAGGTCTGGGTTGGGCAAGAGATGGAGGAGTTGACGAGTGCAAGGATCGAAATCTGGCTAAGAAGGATAATACAGTGTAGTGGTTAAGTGTTCAATTCTGGGCTAGCCTACCTAGATTCTAGTCCTAGCCTTGACTTTTAATAACTATGTAATCATAAATAACCTGTCTGTATGGCTCAGTTTGTTTATCTGTAAAATTGGAGAAATAATAGTATCTTCTTCATGGAACTGCTTTGAGGATTAAATGAGTTATCACACATACATTACTTAGAGTCTGCCACATGGTAAGTGCTTGATAAATGATTGTTGTTATTCGGAGGAATGTCAGGAAGAAGAGTGGGCTTAGAAGGTAAACCAGAGGAGTTTAGTTTTTGAGAAGCTGATTCTAAGCCTTTGGTACAGCCAGTCTGAGAAAACCAGTAGTGGAAAATGTGATACTCTAGCCTGGAAAAGTGGTAGAGAAGAAAAAATTTTAAGTTGCCTCTTTCACGTAGAGGTGATAGAAACTGGGAGGAAAGGATGAGATCACGCAAGGAGAGAGTAGAGCATGATTAGAGAAGGGGATGGAGGACTCCTGTATACATAGGATAGGGAGAAGGAGGAAGAGCCAGAGAAGGTGGTGAAAGAGGAAGAGTTAGAGAAGATAAGAAAACTAGGAGAGGGCAGTGTTTTCATGAAGGTAGAAAGCAAGCAGCAATGAAAAAGTAAAATAGGTAATAATTTCAGAGTTCCCGATCTTGTAAGTGAAACCTTTCCAAGGCCCTAAGAGATGGTAAGATGAAGATCCTTAGGGGCATGGAGGAGGCCAAGGAGCTGTGGCCCAAGGTAGGGAAAGGGTCATCATGTGGGCTGAAGTCACAGATGATGGTGGTAAGGGATAGGAGGCAAACAGGTGGCCAAACCGCTAATGTCCCCAAGACTTGTCAATTTCAGTTTTGCTATCCGATGTCTGATAGATGTCGTCTGAATCCTTCTAAGGAAGGAAGTCATTGAAGTTTAAAAAAAAAAAAAAAAGCTCTCTTCACTAACCTCCACTTAATTAATTCACTGGGCCATCTGATGCTCTCCATGACCTCTGTAAAGCATACTGACTGATGATCTCAGCATACCATATACTGGATGCTGGAAGGCCAATTTCGGACACACCTACCTACTTCTTCCAGTTAACTGACTATTGGTCAGTTTAGATTGGATGAGGAGCTTCAACTATACATGTTGCATTGGTTTATGGCAGCCTTCTCTTCTCCCCTACTAAATGAACCTGGAAAGCATAATTGTTTAATTTTAATATTTAATTTTTTTCCCTGTGGACTGCTAATCAGGAATAGAATACAAAAAATGTCATTTAAATTCTGAGACTTGGGTTTATGTTTTATATTATCTGTATAAATGAGATTTTGGATCAGATCTAGCCTTCTTCCTCAGTCTCCCTTCATCTACTCTGTCTACATCCTCCGATTTCCTAATTCTCTTTGAATTTCCCTTAGTTATTCCAGATATACTCTGAATACACCAATCATCTAACATTTCTGTAGAGCCACTCTGTCTGACTCTGGAGGTGGCTTTCCAGTTGAAGCTGTTATCTCTCTGTACCATGTTGTTCCTTGGATTTTGAAAGTGTTTATAGATTGTTAAGATAATTTCTGTTTGTTTAGATTTTCCAAAGTTTGAGGAAAATAGCATATTGAAATGTAGCCCAAACCCACCCACGTGTTTACTTTGTTTTCTTCTGTTCTCACAAAACACTGAAATGATGCCTTCATGAGTGTCAGCAATTACAAGATGGATGGAGAGAGGAGGTGTGGTATGTGTTCTGTACACATTTTTCAGTCCCTTATTTTGCGTAGGTTGACCATGGCCCTGCCTTTGACTTTGTAATAGCAGTTTAATTGTGCTAAAATAATAAAGACACAATCATATATAAAATAATCCCTTGAAGATTCCCTTGTAACTTACAAACAGGAAGAGCATGAGAAATTATAAAATAATTTTTCATCTCTGTTGCAGCCCTCATTGTAGTTTTTGTAGTGTCTCCAGGCTCTGTTTGCAAACATTTAAAGTAAGTGCTAAAATAGGCACTGAAGGTGTAGCCGTGCTGGATACGTCTTAGAAAGGTAGACTCAGAAATTACTATTGTCAGGTTGCCTGCCTCCTGGTCACTAACATTAGACTGCCATGGTCTCAATTCTTTTCTGTCCATGGACCCTTAGATCATTTAACCCTAAGCGGCTGGAGCTGAAGCCTGTGACATCTCTGCTAAGTGGACCAGATTTCTTCTTTATATGTACCAGGACCAAATTATAAAATGGGCTGTATTGCTGAGATTGAAGGTGAAAACTGGAATAGGCAAGAGTGACAGTGTTGGAGATGTGGCACTTGCAACTTTGTGGAGGAAGTGCCGAAAGGAGGGAAACGAACATCTGAGCCATTCACATAACTTCTCTGGCTTTTAGAATCATTCAAACAAACAAACATACATAAACAAATTGTATTATGTATGACTTTTTTTGTTTTTCCAGCCAGGGTTTTAGATGGCTCTGCCATTGAATTAGGACACTCTTACTGGGCTTCTAGTGGCCTAGTGGTTAAGAATTCGACTGCTAACCAAAAGGTCGGTAGTTTCAATCCACCAGCCACTCCTTGGAAACTTGATTGGGCAGTTCTACTCTGTCCTATAGGGTAGCTATGAATCAGAATCGAATTGATGGCAATGAGTTTG